CTGAACCCTTTCAAGTTTCACAACATAATTCCTATAGCAGGGAGACCAGAATTGAATGCAGTATTCTAAAAGTGGCTGAACCAATATCCTGTACAGCTGTAACATGACCTCCCAACTCCTATACTCAATGCCCTGACCAATAAAGGTAAGCATACCAAACACCTTCTTCACTATCCTAACTACCTGTGACTCCACTTTCAAGTATCTATGAACCTGCACACCAAGGTCTCTTTGTTCAGCAACACTCCCCAGGTCCTTACTATTAAGTGTACAAGTCCTGCCTTGATTTGCTTTTCCAAAAATGCAGCACCTCTCATTTACCTAAATTAAACTCCATCTGCCACTTCTCAGTCCATGGGCCCATCTGATCAAGATCCCATTGTGTTTTGAGGCGATCTTCTTCACTATCCACAACACCTCCAATTTTGGTGTCATCTGCAAGTTTACTAACCATACCTCCTATGTTCACATCCAAATCATTTACATAAAATGACAAAAAGCAGTGGACCCAATACCAATTCTTGTGGCGCACCGCTGGTCACAAACTCTTGTTGTAAGTTTCCATTGTTATATGTCTCAGATAACTTTATTAACACCTGTATGAACTATTGACAGACTTTCCTGGGAGCTGGTGTCTGCTATTGAAGCATAATCTTGCCAATCTTCAAAGTGTTTTTCAAGTAACATACTGATCAAAAGCTGTTATAAGGTTCTGAAATGTATTTATTTCTCATCTATCGTGCTATATATACAGCTATGATCGGATGTTCTTTCCATATTGTAAAATATATTACCTTGTTCTTCATTTGATTTGCAGTCCAATGGAAATTGCATTTTGCATATTTACCAGCTTTCTGATCTATCAAATGAAACTGTTAGCTTAAAATTTTTCTGGTAAAAATAACATACAGGTGAATTATGTTGTATGGGCTTATTTCAGGCACTTCAACTTGATTATTTTCTTGACTTGAATGATCATTAAGATTTTAATCTCTTGTACTGCACAAGTTTTGTTGTCTTCTTGTATTCTTAGTTGCTAAAAGTTGTTTTTGAATCTGTTTTAGTTAAGATTGCAATTGTAGTATTAAAACTGAAAGTTGTTACAGTTTCTGCAATTATACATGCACTTTCCAATGTAAAGTTTGTTTTCCCCCAACCCACTTTACCAAATGGTATCTTCGTAGAGTGGAATTCAAGTATTCACTATGCAAGATGGTTGAGGATTTCTGAAACGATCTGTAGGCAGAAACTTGCCCAAATTTGCATCTATCTGTAAGATTCAAATGACCTTTTTTGAGCATTTCAAAGATGGCTGCCATGACATCGTTGTTAAACTGCATGTTAATGAAGTAACATTGCTCTTCATTTGGTTGTTAACAAGCAGTAATAGGCAACTTGCCACTGTGGGCTTCTCACATGGCTCTGCCACAAATCTCACCACAGCCCACATCATTCCAATTGCTAGATTCCAATTGTAAGATTCCATGCTAGAATTTGTACTAATGATTTGTATATTTATGTTTCCTAACAAAACCCTGATCTTTACATCAGAAGACTATATATGATGCTATATGGTACAGCTCAGTAAGACTTTAAAATCCTGCTGGAATGCATCAATTAGAAGTACAACATACAGAAAATAATATTGATCCTGGAAATTTTTGTATAATGGATATACTTAAATCAGCAGACATTTTGATAAAAGAAAACAAAAAACTTTTCAGGATAATGTATCAACTTGCAAAAGTAAGGCAGTTCTGAATTAATCAGACCTTGCAAACTCCTTCCCATTTCTGAATATATTACAAAAACTTATCAATAGTCCTTTTCCCAAGCCTTACATTCAAATCAGGTTACCAAATAAATTCCTGTAAATTTTGAATTTGATCCAGATGAATATATTCAACACTCCTGGTCAGGTAACCATAAAATGTAAACATGAATAAATGTTTCTCCTACCCATGGGATAAATTATTCTTTATTTCTTTTAAAACATACTGAATAAAAATTGCAGTTAATGTCCGATTTTGTATTATTGTAGTTTGCTCGGTCGAAAGTAGTATGATATTATTTGAAACTTGCAGTCTTCTTGGTCATTCCATTATCATTTTTATATCAGTGATTTGTTACATAATGACCTTTCAATTATAATAAAAAGGTATGCATTTATATCACCCATCTCATGGTCTCAGGGCATCCAAAAGCATTTCGCAGCTATTGAATATTGAATGAAAACTGTGATCTGGTCATCTGTTTAAGTGTTATTAATGGAGAGAAAAATATTAACCAGGCTCTTCTTCGAATAGTACTACAGGGGTTTTGCATCCACCTATACTTAATTCATCATCTCAACTGAAATATAGTGGGTTTGATTTATTGGAGACAATAGGCATCTCATCCATCAGCACTCCAGCTGATGGGAGCTCTGCATCATTTTAGAAAGGTTTGCTAAAGTAAGTGTCGGTGAGCCAGTGCACTGACCAATGGCAGGCCTTCCCCAAGTTCAAGATCCTAATGACAAAAGTGCCACCCACCTAGAGTTGCCAGCAGACGCTGCCAGTTCAACTGAATGAGATTACCACCGGGGGTAGGGGGTGGGGAACCAGTAGCTGCAATTGGTCAAACATCTGCCCGAGGCCCAGTATTGGATCCCAGGCCAGAGGTGAATGGTGCCACAGGTGGAAAAAACATGGACTACTGTATGGAGATGGTGGAGATGAGGCTCAGCAGCAAGTTTCGGCAGGTGGAGTCTTTTAGCATGCATTCATCTCCCCAGAGCCAGGTCCCTCAAATCAAAGGACTGAATGCATTTGAATGTGGATCCTAGGAACCTGCAAGGAACCCCACACAGATATGCTTGTTGTACACCTGCCTGCCGCTAGCAGTGTGGTGGCATGAGGCCCCTACTCAAGTAGTAACTGTCTACATAAAAGCTGCAAATGGCAGCTGGGCAAGAAGGCTGCCTACGGGCCTTAACTGGAGTGGAGGCAAGACAAGGGATAATTAAACACTGCCCTCCCATGTGATTAAGTGCCTTATCACCCCAGCACAAAACCCAAATGGAGAATTAAATTCTGCCCAGTATTTTGACAGCGCAGTGCACTCTTGGTATTGAATTTAAGTTACAGCTTGAAGGAGGTGCTCAACTCTCTGAAATGGGACATGAACCTGCATTTGCCTCACTCAGAGGTGAAAGTGCTAACACTGAATGACAGTGGCTGCTGTAGATACAACCATGACTGTTTTTTAAAATGTTGTATCATACAGTCATTTTGTTCTGTGCTGTCATTATTCAACTCTTGCCAAGAAATTCATGAAACTATTGTTTTTTAAAAAAAAGTCACTTACACTGAAATCAATTGTTTTGTGACTGCAAAACAGAACAGCAACCTTGTAACTTGAATATCCAATCAATTTCTTCAAATATTATACAGTATCAATTCTTAATACCGAAAAAGCCTCAAAGCCAATCACACAGGTTACAGACAAAACATTTGATGAGGCTAACATTTGTGAATAAAACAGGTGAGTCAGGCCTGCATAATTCTATGGATTTACAGGTTACCTACTATTGGATGATTTAATGTTTGGTAAATATGGTACTTTTTGGTAAATTCTCTACACCCCACATACAGGACATGAGATTGACCAGAAGGATGAATTTTTTTGCATGGTTTTCACATCATAAATATGGAGAACACCACAATTTGTTGTTTACAAAACAATTCAGACAGATTATAACCCAGAGATTAAAATGGCTATAATATTGCTAATCAGTTTCCTCTGGCTAGTCTTAGGGACAACTAAACAATGTGTGCATTTAAAGCATAGCAAATTTCATTGATATTTTTGTTCTGATTTGTGACCAAAGAGAAATATTATAAATTGTGATGGATAGCATTGAACATTTTCATGACCATATTCTAATCTTAAAGTTCAAAGGACATTTAAAAATTACTCTCTCATGATTTATGACATCATCTGAATTCCTTAATGAGATAACTGCCTCCTGATTATTATCTACTATTCATTGTTCTCTTTATACTGTTGTTGCAAAAGAGAAGGAATTTAACTAACAAATTGAACAAATATATTAGAGGAAAATCAGGTTAATTATTCTTGAATTATTCTTTTGTACTGGTGTTTTAAAAAGAATATCAAAATAAATTATTTGACATCTAAACTCTGATGAATATACAAAATACAAGACATTGTGATCTGTAGCACTTGATGCAAAAAAATTAGCATCACTTGAGTGACAAAGGAAACCTGAGCAAGAAACAACACAGAATACATCTACTGATATTCAATGTTTTACTTCACTTGTGCTTGTGCTTAAGTGCTCAATACAGGAAGAGAAAAATAAATCATTTATCCAGCAACCTGGCATGTTTCCCTTTTAACCCAATAACATAATGAGCTCCCAAGTCAATCAGCTATCTAATCTTTCCCCACAACACAGACATTATACTATAACCTCAGTAATTTGCACCTGTGCAACACTTATCTTTCACCTAGCCTTTCTTTGTGGTCCCTCAGACAGGGATTGTTGAGTGAGCATACAGTAGTCATGAAAATCAAAGCAATTTGTTCTGTCAATACTGTTCACTGGCAACAAAATAAGGATTTCACAACATCTGCCACTTATTATATACTAACTGTGTTCACATTTCTTTTTCTGAATTAGAACAAAGATGCTCGGACCGAGGAGAGTATTTTAATGATTAGCCACAAATTACTAGCCCAGCAAATGTGGGTTTTTTTGTGATACCAAATTGGCTCATTATTAATGCTTTTCTAAGCATATCTTCCCAACAAATACCTCAATATTTTTCCACAAATTGTATAATTTTCAGTTTTGTTCAAATACAAATACGCAACTGTCATATCATACATATTAGATTTGAACTGAATTCTTCGAATGTACTGATCTGCTTGTTCAATAAGAATCCCTCACACAGGTCTAAATACAATTAAATAATTTAAATAATGGTGCTTACCAACATGAGTGATAACATTGACCAGTCGCTGTGTGAGTTCTTGAAGTGACATCTCTTCTTCCCTTAGACAGAGAAGCATCTCACAGTGTTCAGCTCCAAATCTACAGCTGCTCCTGTAGAATCTTCTCAAACACACAAAGGCAAGTGCCACTCCCAGCAGCAATATTCCATTCAAGATACTGGTGCTATTTCAGCTATTTCTGACTCTTTTTTTGGCAGCTTTAGTAATATTCAAAATATCCTTAGTTAAAAAAATTATATATATTTAAGCCAATGAAACACAGCAGCTAGATATTTTAAGAAATCCAAGGACAAAGCTGATGAAATTCCCTATCAGATCTGCTTGCTGCTCATTTCTATTAACACTGAGTCAGGCTTAAACAGCAAATCAGTGTGCAGATACCTGCCTCAAGGGAGATGCTGGGTGACCGTACTTTAAATCAAAACCTGGAGTTATGGAGTGTAGGACTGGAATTAGAAAACTGTAAAAGGAGTTATTAATGTACAGCCTTAGTTGAATTAATTTACGCATTTTGTTTCATATATTGTCCAGAAACACTTATTTAAAAAATAAACCTTTTTGTCTCAATTATGTCAGACTGACAAATTTGCTTTTGGCTATTCACTTCTATTATCCTCCAAGTAAAATATATTTTTAGATGTTAAAATAATCTGGTACATAATATTTTCTACTGACACCTTCTCATTAGCTGCTTCCTCTATCAAACTTTGAACATTACCAACAAGGTAACACTACCACCCATCACAAGCAAAGCAGACAAGATACGCTAAGGCTCAAAAGTCATTGTCTCCAATGAAGATCAATATTAAAAATCTTTGTAATGCAATCTTTGAAATGCAGCTGCTGCCTGCTCTGAAACCATGAGGGACCATTTCTGAAATGACAGCTGAAATCAATGCATGCTGTAATCCCACCATATGTTTTAAATGAAAAAATGCAAACCAATTCTGAAAATTATGTGAATATAACACATCTGTAAATACATTGTAGCCAAGACTGTAAGAGGGCAAAAAAAAACAACCAATATCTTTATACAATCGTACCAGCCCTGGAAGTCAGACCAATCTATGCTACAATGAGATGGTTTTTAGTATTCTTTATTTATGAGAATCTACTGGCACCTTGATGAGAAACTAGAGACCTGATCGTATGCACCATCTTTAAATTACAGATACAGTTTAAATTAGTGTATACATATTAGCTCAGCAGTTACATGCTGTTGTTCTTACCAAGTGCATTTTGGTTTATGAGATCTAATTGGTCCATGCTAATTGTAATATTTTGTGACTGTTGAATGCAAAGTTGAGAAACAAAGCAGCGAAGGTGTCCCTTAAAAACACACTTATAGATCCTCAGAACAGAATTGGAAGTAGCCACTAGAAAGTTTTGTAAAGATTTTTTGCTGAGAGAAAAAAAATCAAATAAATAATGGATGGAATCTCATCAGCCATCCCGAGGTGACTTTGGAAATTGTTTTAGATAGGTGTATGCTGTCATTCACCTGTAACAGTCCTGCCTCCGAGTATTTTTGTGGGAGGTGGGGGTCAGACTGGAACCAGTTAACCACTGGTGGTCACATGTAGCTAATTATGATAATTAAGTGGCCCCTGGGGCCAAATTGGTGGTGCTGCCATTATTCTCCTGATGGATGGAATTTTCATGGTGGACAGGTTTCCTACTGAGGCCAAAGTCCAAAAGATGGTTGAAGATAACACCTGCATAAAGTCCACGGTCAGTGAAAGCTCTTTTAAATACCTCGCTCCCCCTCAGAGCCATGAATTCCAGGAGGCTATAGCTACAGCCACAGGCTATCCTGAAAAGGGATCCCCTCCCCCCTACATGGTTGGTTTAACAGCTATGGCTACTCTTATCTTGAACTTTCCTTGGCATCTTCAGAAGCATGTGTATCTTGAGACATCCTCACAGTCTCCCTTATATTAGCAGTTCCCACTTTTCTCATTCTGTAGAACTATACACAGCTTCAGATGATCTGATTGACTATGTTGCATATGAAGCACTGCTTCTGAGCGTAATTAAATAGGACTCCCAGAAAAAGTCTGTTAATTGGCTGTGGGTGAAACTTGGCATCCTTTGATGTTTGAATATATATTGTTCTGATGCTTAAAAATCTAAGACTGAAAGATTCCATTCAATTAGAGCAGAAAAACAATTTATTTCAAAAAATTATGGTCACACAAACATGTTATGATTGTTTGAAAAGGTCTCAGTCTGAACACACAGGACTTTTTGTTCATGAGAACCTCACCCTATTTTCATGTCAAATTTCAAGTCAAGTGGAGTAGAATATACCCATGCACCTGATTTTTAAAGCTGTTGTGAATCTTGTGGTGCAAGGCATTTAGAACCTGAAAGAAAGAGTTACCCCTCAGTACAAGATAAACTCCATCCATCAGGATGTAAAAGACTGTTCCTGGTAGGAGCTAACCCTTAGTCTATGTAGCTGACAGACTGTGTACATTCATAGTTACAGTCTGAGGTCTTAGAAAAGGATCCTCATGTAACTTAGGTGTAACCTGGCACCTAAAGGGATGCCTGCAGCATACATGCCTTACTATGCCTTGCAGTGCAAGTTGGCACACAACCAGGCAGCAAGCTATGCTGCTCAGGAGTCCACAAGATAGTAGTATGTCATACTTATACCAGGGTGACAGCAGTATTCATGCAAAACCTGTAGCATCAGCAGTAAGCAGTCAACCACGTCCCAAAGTCTTAGGGTAGTCTTCAATGAGATTCATGGATGCACCCATCAGTCGGGGGTCTGGCATTATTATTCAAGGGCAGACTGCCATACTAGTTCAGAGCTTTGGAGATGTTCAGACACCTGGTCAGGGTAGCTTCAACAGGCTTTATGCTGCTGCCTTCCAAAAGACCAGGTCAAGATTAGTCCTGTCTCCATACCGGTCAGTCAAGGAGGACTCACAGTCATGGATATGCATGGCCACCAGTGGGGCATCTAGGCAGGTAGATGAAATGGACACCTAGGAAGGGGTTGGCTGAGCTTTGTGGCCACTGGCCCGTTCAGGCTGAGGCAGTTGGCTACTGGCAGAGGATGCACACTATTGCTGTTCATCATGAAGCAAATGAAAAATGTGTGCTCTGGTAAAAAAAAAACCAATCGCAGTCACCATCACATCTAGAATGGGCAGGTTAAGTGAGCAGACATGTGGCAGGGGTTCAGCAACCACTGGACTGTGGGCTTCCATACAGGAACAACACTGGTTGGAGACCATATTTGGTTCCTGACAGACATACAGGGTGCTCACTCCCTGGCCATCCTGTAGCATTGACCCTGTGTTGCACATTCCCAGCACAGCGATGTCAGCAACCACTCAGAACCACACTCCTGCACAGTCAGCTGAGTAAGAGATTCCTAAGGTACAAAACAATTCAATGCCACATTCATGCATTGCTCCTCCTATCTAACAAGATCATTAGGCACTGAATACACACCCCTTCCATTACACTTCACTGCTGGAGGGTGCTAGAATCATCTAGGCCCTACACAGAGATGCAGACAACCACATGAATTGACTAAAATAAGTTTTATAATACATTTATGAAGCATTTACAGAACAGTCTCACCTGTGCCAATGACATGCAGTTTTCAATACAATTTCCTCTTCCTCTCCCACTGCTGCGTCTTAATGAGCTCCAAAATGTTGCAGTCAGGGTGCAGGAACCTACTTAGTAATGGAGTCCATTGGCCCTGGAGGACTGATAGGGCAACCCCAGGGACATTTTTGTCTGGACAGCCCAGATATGTTGAGGATCTTCAGCAGTTCTGACAGCGTCAGTGTAAAGAGAACAGAGTTAACATTTCAAGTCCAGTGACCATTCTTCAGAACTGGGGTTTCCCATTGAGTTTTAACATCCATAGTTCTTTGGTTTTGGTTTATGTTGAGGATCATCTTGACAGAGGCAAGTTGACTTCCTTGACCTAAAATCCCAAATGGGGGCTGGGGGCCTGGGGGGCTGGGGTGCTTCCAGTCAGGGTGGTTGGGAAGGGTCTGGCTGTCTCAGAAGTGTACTGAATGGAAAGTACAAGGGACTGGTGTGTGGTTCCATCTACACCTGAGTGTAGCCTGGCATGGTCCTGTCTACTGCAGAATCTGAATTCCTATAATTTGGGAGCAGGCTATTCAGCCTAGAGTCCAGACCAACTCTCTGAAAAGCATCCCACACCTTTATCCTATCCCTGTAACCCTGTATTTCCCATGGCTAATCCACTCAACCTATATATCCCTGGGCATTATGGGTAATTTTAAATGAGCAATCCACCTAAACCTGCACATTTTTGGACTGTGGGAGGAAGCCCACACAGACACAGGGAGAATGTGCGAACTCCACACAAACAGTCACCTGAGGGTGGTATCAAACCGGAATCCCTGACGCTATGAGGCAGCAGTGCTAGCCACTGAGCTACCATGCCTCCCCTTGAAGAAGGGGACACCTGGACTGGACCAATAGCTGCAATGATGGAGCAAAAGTCTGTACGTGTCCAACAGCCCCTGAGCATGCTTGAAATGTCTACGGCAACTGCCAACCTGCCAAAAGAGTTAGACCGAAGTTTGCATGCAGCAGGTTTGGAGCATTGCGTCCTACATCGTTGTCTGCAACTTCTGTTCCTCCTTGTGCAGTACCATTCTTTCTGTCAAGCTATAATCAGACTCCACAGTGCTCGTCATGATAACAGGAGGCTGTTCAGCAAACCAGTTCATGCACCCAGGATCCTAATCCACATGTCCAATCAGTACTCCTGTTTGTTGTCCCATCGAGGTCCTCACCTGAGCCCTCTACAGATATATTTGTATGTTACCTTGCCTTCCGGTAAGCAGGTAAGTCAGCCATCCTCTACCCCTGACCTGCTTGCAGCCAAATCATGCCTGTAGGATCAGGACACAGCTTGAACGATATTGTAGAGTTTGCCTTACTATGTGCAGCACTCAAAGCACCAGTAGCTTGCTCATTATGGCAGATAGAAATGGGAGGATGTACTGAGAGTTATGAAAAGTCAGACAGGAAGACACTATCGCTGTCCATGTTTTCAGTGACATTAGGATTGGCTGTGACAGAACCTGTGACTTCCAATATGCAGA